ATGGAATCTACTTATCTGCTTTCTGTCACTCTCATGTACCTTTAATAGGTTTGTTTAAGACTTACTACATAGAGGATACGTTTAGATGAATGTAGTACATCTTAACCTGATGTACTGCCAAGTCCCTGGGAAATCTTTAGAGATAATGGTAGATGAGCTGGGTTGAGGGAACCATTGACTAGTTCAGTATTTAAATAAAGGAAATCATACATTTACTTGCAATAATGCCAAGTTTCTTTGCCATAGTTTACAATTATTCAATTAATTGGTTATTTCATTTTGGCCAGAGTTAGGAGTTTTACATCTTAACTCTTTATTTTTCAAAGTGAACTTTTTTGTTATTTTTAGTTTGAAAATTGATGAAGAGAAAGAGGGACAATTTAAAAAAGAATTTAGCTGTAAAAAGTAAGGAACTTCCACTGAAAATAAGAGTGACTGGAGAAGAAGGGAAATAAGTCCTTTACAGTTTTTCTCAGATTTTTAAAAATAGCTTTATTGAAATGCAATTGATATACATTAAACTGAACATATTTAAACAGTTTGATAAGTTTTGACATGTATACATCTGTCAAAATAATGAACATACCCATCTCATTCAAAAGTTCCCTATGCACCTCCCTAAGACTGCTTGTGTCCCCCTCACTCCTCACAACTACTTACCTGCTTTCTGTCACTATAGATGAGTTTGTATTTTCTAGAGTTTTGTAAAAAGTAATCATGTACAATATAGTCTCCTTTTTGTCTGATTTCTTTTACTCAGCATAATTATTTTGAAGTTTATTCATGTTGCCTGGATATAGTCCATTCCTTTTTATTTCTGAATAGGATTCTACTGTAAGAATACCAAAATTTATCAGTTTTTGGTTTTTAACATACGACTCCACTACTGGAAGAATCAAAGTATTTCATTCAAAGTCCTGCCATCATATAATAATATCCAATTTAAGATAATACCCTTTTTCCTCTCCTCTGAACCCTGACTTCTTTCCTTTAAAACTGATCTTTCTTTTATCAAATTATGTAGATTGAAAAGCCTAATAGTATGTAACTAGCTTTATGTTGAGAAATGGCAATCCTTTACTACGCTTGCCAGCTGCTCCCACCTCAGCATGTTTGAAGAGTATGCATCCTTGTTTCTCCGCTACTGATGCCTAGCTCCCTCCCTGACATCGTTCTCTCCTTACTCATGTCTTCAGATCTAGTAAGTCTCCAGTCCTGTTGACTTCCTTTTCTAATATCCAACCATCCTTCTTCTCCTCTCCCTTCTCACAGGTAGTGCTGTACTTAAAGGGCTTGCTTCCTCCATATACCAGGGGAGTGGCCTTCTAACTAATCTGAGTACCTCTGATTTCTGCTATTTCCAGTCTTTTGTTCATGCAGCAGCCAGAGTTTGCTTTCCTAAACACAGTTCTTAGTCATTTTCTGTTAGAGAAGCTGATATAAAAAGATACCATGTGGCAGTTTGGATCAAAAATAGAATTAAACAGCAGGCATATTACCAGTGAAGCTAACTAAAATCAAGCAAATATCTACTTGCTTCACTGGGTCATCCCCGTGATCAGGAAGATAAGGCTGAGATTAAGAAACAACTAATATGTCAGACTTGATCACTGATGATTGTTCAAAGAATTCAACCACCTCAATTAGAATGGAATTTCTTTATAAGGTTGCCTGATGTAACTAAGAATTTTGAAAATGAGACTAATTCTAATAGTATCAATAGCACATTTGCAATGTCAAAAGAATTTTTTCAATAGATTATGAGAGGCATGCTGGTGCAGTATAACAAGTACTAGATTAAGAGTAGGGGTCAAGCAACCTTGTTCTGTGCATCCCTGCCACTAACCATGTCACCTTAGATGTGTCACATACTTCTTTGATCATCAGTTTTCACATGTTAAAATGGGAATAAGAATTCTCACTCAGCTCTGAATTTTGTTGACTGAGAGGTTTGCTTAAATACTAGGAACAGGAAAATTGTGAACAGTTGATAAGGGATTGATTGATAAGAAGACCAAGGGGGGATTGATGTTGGAGGTGACATGTATTTGAATTGGAGGAGAATTAGCTAAAGCTGAGTTTCCTCATCCCCCCCACCCAGCTTTATTACAGAATAATTGACAAAAATTGTATATGTTTAAGGTGTACAATGTGGTGATTCAATAGTAGGTATACAGTAATAGATTCTCTAAGAGGAATTCAAAAGCCTTTTTACAAGTTTATTTTGCTTGCCTGAAAGTTAACATTTTAATTTCATCACGTTTTCATGGGCTTTAGGGATTCACAATTAGAGGAATTCTTGTTATAACTTACTCTTTTAAAAGATGTCTCTTATAACAGGTTTCCTCAATTTCACAGCTTTCTTCATCCTTCAGGGTGGAGGGTACTATGTATTCTAAGGGGCACTGTGGTTAAAGAGAAGACTAAAGTCTGAATATGCAAGCATTTCTACCTCTGGTATCTAACTTAGAGCTTCCACTTCCTCTTTAGAAATGAAATCTTTGTGTAGATGACATAGGAAAGACACCCTTTTGTTTAACATAAAAACTATCTTTCTGGTATTGAGAAACTTTTATGGGACCCCATCTATTCTGACTTGTATCTTAAAATCTAGACTATTTGGATAATTGTGTTAGGGTGGTGAGAATACTTTGTCTGATGCCACAATGATGAATATATGTCATTATACATTTATCTGAACCCATGGGATATACACTAAAAATGAACTGTAATGTAAACTGTGGGTTTTTGGTGATTGTGATGTGTGAATATAGGTTCATCAGTTGTAACAAATGTGTCACTCTGCTGGGAGATGTTGACAGTGGAGGCAGCTTGCATGTGAGGTGGGTCAGGGTGTATATGGAAAATTTTTTATACCTTCTGCTCAATTTTGCTTTGAACCTAAACTGCTCTAAGAAAATTAAGTCTACTAAATCATTTTTCTGATGTTCAAAAGCTTAGTGACCTCCCAAATAGATTCCAGATTCCTTAGGGTAATTTTTAAAGCTCTTTTAGATCTGTCCCTAGCCACTCTGATCTCATCTTTGATGATCTCCCTCTTCTAAACTGCAGAAAAGGTCAAGCTGCATGAGGGTGTTAGGGTTGAGTTCCATTAATTGGCCACTGCTCCTGGTCCCCTGGTTGATACTGAGTCCAGGATGTGTTGCAAAAGAATATTAGTCTTTTCTTTTAAGTGTCTCTGCAGCTATCTGGGACCAATGAGAAAGGATACAGCCCAGTGGCATGGTAGCCGGAATGGATTCCTGGTTGCCCATCTGGAAAGAAACGATTGGGTTAGAGAGCCTAGCGTCTCAGGGTCTACTCCAGAAGCCTCAGTGTCCCAAGACCTGTAAATCTATTCCTGTTTTAGAAGTCCCTGGCAACAGGACAGAGGACTGAAAGACTAATCCTGCAGAATGGGCTAGAAAGCTCAGTGTCCCAAGGTCTATCCCAGAGGTCCTGGCACAGCTGGCTACCCAGGACTTTAACGCATCCCACCTCAGACGTCTCCAAGTGGGTCATGGAGAACTAGTCCTTTGGCTTCCTAGTGAAGGGTTAAAGGGGGTTCACTGTGATCTGCGGTGATCCCAAGAGCTGGAGACAGTGGGAATCAAGGCTGGCAGAAGGTCTTTGTGGGAGCCAGAAGGTGGCGCAACCAAACGGAAACTGGAAAGGAGATAGTGTCAGGCAGCAAAAAAACCTATTTGGGAGACTGCCAGGGGTTGGACTTGGGTGTGATTTACTGTGTGCCTGACTGCACAAATGTCCGGCGGGTGGCGGGGAGCCTAATGCTCTGTTCCCCATCTGCAACCACCTTATCCTGTCACGAGAGTCTTCTAGCGGCGGCCTGCCCTAGTGGCATTTTAATGTGGCTGATTCGTGCCTACTTTTGGCCAGAATGGCTGCCTAACAGAAATTGAAAGTAAGAGTGATTTACCACTGCTTTCTCCAAGGCACGGCACCAAAATATGTTAGGAAGGAAAGGACTCGGCTCGGTGTAGCAGGGAAGTCAGATATAGTGAGATGAGAGAACAAAGTCAACAAGGCAAGGTAAGTTTTAATACACTCTGTAGAGAGTAACAGAGCCGGCCTGCCTAAGATAAGACAGACAGGCGTGGATGTTTATTCTGAGACTTCTTTTATAAGTGGTTTTTGGCAGGGCAGAGAGGTCCTTGATTGACAGCTGTCAGCTCTCTAGGCTGGTTCTGACTGGTGAAATGGGGACAGGGGCTATACTGTGCCTGTGCCTCTCATGTTTCTTATCTGGGGGGGACCCTGGACATTTCCTGAGTCACTCTTGGACCCTATGGCTTCATCTGATTAACTCTCTGAGTCATTTCTGGCTTTCTGGCTCTATTTGATCAACTTCCTGAGTCATCTTTGGAGGACCCTTTCTCCTTTTCATCCCGCTCATTTCTGTCTTTCTGCCTAATAGAATGATAAAATTTTATTAGAAAGTAAACACGTAGTTGACTACAACACTGCTGCGCATTTGAAGCAGCCTACAATACCTGCTTGGGAGAACCATAAAAATGTTTGCAATTTCGAAATATTGAAACCAAAGAAACATGCAAACCAAGGCGTTTCTTAAAAGCGACCATTCCCAGCACATATGGGGAGGCCCTGAGTAAAGTTAGAGGGTAGCTCTTCCTTTTCCTCAGGGAACCCCAGGCTGAGTGCTTCTAAGCCTTTGGACAGCTGTTCGGCGAAGAAACACAGGGCAAAGTACAAACTGGAATGAAAAGGCAAAAAAACCAGCGGGTCTCCACCTCTAATCAGTTTTGCTGCTCCAAAAGAGTGCAGTGCATTTAGGATAACAAAAGCGGTGAAGTTTCAGACACTTGAATTCCTCCAACTGCGACAGCCTCCTCAAAATTTCATTTCAAGGGCTCCTTGCAATTGTTATGGGGAAGCTTCCCGTCTCCCTGGCAACGGGAGCTGCTACCAATTGCAGCTAAGGACTGATGGTCACGTGGCCTTGGACTATTCCTTAACGGAGACAACATGGCGGCCCCGGCGACCCGTAGCTGCGGGATTTGAATTACTACTTGAACTGCTGCGTCCGGGCGATGGCGTGTCCTGCTTCGTGTGGCTCGCGTCAAAGCTCAGATGAGCTCCCTGCAGATCCCTGTTTACCAGAAGGTGATGAGGATTGTGATTCTGAAGATCCGGTTAGCGACGCGGGTTCATACTCTTCAGCGAGTAGCGATTATGAGTAAGGTTCTCGGAAAGGAACAATTAAACCCATCCCTTCAATCCGGAGAGTGTACACGTGGTCTTGGGGGGAATTGCGGACATGTTCGCATAGTTGGGATTGAGTGAGGCCCTATAATAAGTGGGATTCATTTACGTCACGTTTCCTTGTGTGATATCGTGAGCCGAAATGATAGTGCCTGTCTTTGCTATTGTTTTCTAAATGATATTCAGAGGAGACGGGTCTCCACTAATTGTGATGGGTTCTATAATATATGAGGGTATGTATAAATGTTGAAGTGTTCACAAAACTCTGTTCTTACCGCCCGTCTCCTTGCTTCTCTGGTGTCATGATCTTTGCGACTAACTAGTGGAGGAATACCTTGCACCTTTTTAAAGACAACTATTTAAATATGTAGACTTTTTTCCTGTTATAAAAGTGAATAGATAAATAAAAGAAAGAAAATCTACCCTTAGTCTCATCATCAAGGAAAACTGTTAGCATTTTTGGGATGTTTCTGCTATATTTTTTATACATCCTCGTGGTTTTCGTGTTTTCTATTTTAATATCAATTTTGTTCTTAAAATACAAAATGTCTAAGTGTTATTTTCCACTTTTTTAGTCCTTCATGATAATGAAAAAAGTCATTTTGATTTGCGAACCCAAAGCTACTTCAATTTTTGAAGAAATCTCTCTCTTTCAGCTATGGATTAAGAGTTCTTGGAAAAGTCAATTGATGGTAGCTTGAAATGAATGACTAGCAATGAGAAGGTTTACATGACAAAACCTCAACCAAACCTCAAAATAGACTGCTATACTTAGTTTTAGGGTGACATTTTATGTGTATTTACAGAATAACAGTTACAAGTATTTACCGTATTTAGGAGCAACAGCTCCTTGGCAGTTATTTTCACCTGTATGTATATAAAACATTTTTATCATCATTAAGTGCATTGGGGAAAAGCCATCATTAATGACTGCTTAATACACTGTGGAAGCTCAATAAGGACAGATTGTATTCTTGAAAATGAACAAATTTGAGAGTATAATCTGCTGTGGTAATTTAAAAATAACACAAAATTAATGGTTATCAAGCAAGGCTGATGGAAGGAAGTATAGATTACAGGAAACCTCATTTGGTCTTGCTATGGGAGTCATAGACAATGTTAGACTCAAACTCTTGATTTCTGTGCATATTAGAAATCACACACTTTAGGCCAGGAGAGAGTCTATAATTTGCCCATGGTCACATAGCTGAGGATTGTCAGTGTAGGTTTTAGGAACCCTGATTTCAAGTGGAGTACCCTGATTTTGGTGGGATGAAGATAAATGAGCTAGCCCTATTTCCTAGGAAATGAGCAGTCTGAGGACCTTTATGTTAGAAAGGACATGAGTGTTGTCCAGACTGTTGTTCCTTCCTTATGGTATTAGGTTTTTACCTCCCTAAACTGCAGTTACCAATGCAAGACGTGGCCTGTCAGCTTGGAGAGGATCACTCTTTGATCACCGGCATAGAGATGTGAACCTATGGATTAAGAAGTTTTTGGAAAAGTCAATTAATGGTAGCTTGAAATGAATGACTAGCAATGAGAAGGTTTACATGCCAAAACCTCAACCAACCTCAAAATAGACTGCTATACTTAGTTTTAGGGTGACATTTTATGTGTATTTACAGAATAACAGTTACAAGTTTCTCACCAAAGCCAGGCGATGAGAATTGTCTATTGTCTTTCATTGCCTAAATGAAGGTTATTAAGGAATTGATGCTACTTATTGATTTGCATAAAGTATCCTGAACTTTCCAGATTCTAGTTAATTATTTGCATATTCTTTCTGGAAATTATCATTGTTTCATACATGCTTTGTAACTGAAAGCCAGTTGAGTTGCATGTGATTGTCAATACAGAATTAATAAGTTAATTGTTTTTTAGTACATTTTGGGTACATTAGTATATGGAATCTACTTATCTGCTTTCTGTCACTCTCATGTACCTTTAATAGGTTTGTTTAAGACTTACTACATAGAGGATACGTTTAGATGAATGTAGTACATCTTAACCTGATGTACTGCCAAGTCCCTGGGAAATCTTTAGAGATTATGGTAGATGAGCTGGGTTGAGGGAACCATTGACTAGTTCAGTATTTAAATAAAGGAAATCATACATTTACTTGCAATAATGCCAAGTTTCTTTGCCATAGTTTACAATTATTCAATTAATTGGTTATTTCATTTTGGCCAGAGTTAGGAGTTTTACATCTTAACTCTTTATTTTTCAAAGTGAACTTTTTTGTTATTTTTAGTTTGAAAATTGATGAAGAGAAAGAGGGACAATTTAAAAAAGAATTTAGCTGTAAAAAGTAAGGAACTTCCACTGAAAATAAGAGTGACTGGAGAAGAAGGGAAATAAGTCCTTTACAGTTTTTCTCAGATTTTTAAAAATAGCTTTATTGAAATGCAATTGATATACATTAAACTGAACATATTTAAACAGTTTGATAAGTTTTGACATGTATACATCTGTCAAAATAATGAACATACCCATCTCATTCAAAAGTTCCCTATGCACCTCCCTAAGACTGCTTGTGTCCCCCTCACTCCTCACAACTACTTACCTGCTTTCTGTCACTATAGATGAGTTTGTATTTTCTAGAGTTTTGTAAAAAGTAATCATGTACAATATAGTCTCCTTTTTGTCTGATTTCTTTTACTCAGCATAATTATTTTGAAGTTTATTCATGTTGCCTGGATATAGTCCATTCCTTTTTATTTCTGAATAGGATTCTACTGTAAGAATACCAAAATTTATCAGTTTTTGGTTTTTAACATACGACTCCACTACTGGAAGAATCAAAGTATTTCATTCAAAGTCCTGCCATCATATAATAATATCCAATTTAAGATAATACCCTTTTTCCTCTCCTCTGAACCCTGACTTCTTTCCTTTAAAACTGATCTTTCTTTTATCAAATTATGTAGATTGAAAAGCCTAATAGTATGTAACTAGCTTTATGTTGAGAAATGGCAATCCTTTACTACGCTTGCCAGCTGCTCCCACCTCAGCATGTTTGAAGAGTATGCATCCTTGTTTCTCCGCTACTGATGCCTAGCTCCCTCCCTGACATCGTTCTCTCCTTACTCATGTCTTCAGATCTAGTAAGTCTCCAGTCCTGTTGACTTCCTTTTCTAATATCCAACCATCCTTCTTCTCCTCTCCCTTCTCACAGGTAGTGCTGTACTTAAAGGGCTTGCTTCCTCCATATACCAGGGGAGTGGCCTTCTAACTAATCTGAGTACCTCTGATTTCTGCTATTTCCAGTCTTTTGTTCATGCAGCAGCCAGAGTTTGCTTTCCTAAACACAGTTCTTAGTCATTTTCTGTTAGAGAACCTGATATAAAAAGATACCATGTGGCAGTTTGGATCAAAAATAGAATTAAACAGCAGGCATATTACCAGTGAAGCTAACTAAAATCAAGCAAATATCTACTTGCTTCACTGGGTCATCCCCGTGATCAGGAAGATAAGGCTGAGATTAAGAAACAACTAATATGTCAGACTTGATCACTGATGATTGTTCAAAGAATTCAACCACCTCAATTAGAATGGAATTTCTTTATAAGGTTGCCTGATGTAACTAAGAATTTTGAAAATGAGACTAATTCTAATAGTATCAATAGCACATTTGCAATGTCAAAAGAATTTTTTCAATAGATTATGAGAGGCATGCTGGTGCAGTATAACAAGTACTAGATTAAGAGTAGGGGTCAAGCAACCTTGTTCTGTGCATCCCTGCCACTAACCATGTCACCTTAGATGTGTCACATACTTCTTTGATCATCAGTTTTCACATGTTAAAATGGGAATAAGAATTCTCACTCAGCTCTGAATTTTGTTGACTGAGAGGTTTGCTTAAATACTAGGAACAGGAAAATTGTGAACAGTTGATAAAGGATTGATTGATAAGAAGACCAAGGGGGGATTGATGTTGGAGGTGACATGTATTTGAATTGGAGGAGAATTAGCTAAAGCTGAGTTTCCTCATCCCCCCCACCCAGCTTTATTACAGAATAATTGACAAAAATTGTATATGTTTAAGGTGTACAATGTGGTGATTCAATAGTAGGTATACAGTAATAGATTCTCTAAGAGGAATTCAAAAGCCTTTTTACAAGTTTATTTTGCTTGCCTGAAAGTTAACATTTTAATTTCATCACGTTTTCATGGGCTTTAGGGATTCACAATTAGAGGAATTCTTGTTATAACTTACTCTTTTAAAAGATGTCTCTTATAACAGGTTTCCTCAATTTCACAGCTTTCTTCATCCTTCAGGGTGGAGGGTACTATGTATTCTAAGGGGCACTGTGGTTAAAGAGAAGACTAAAGTCTGAATATGCAAGCATTTCTACCTCTGGTATCTAACTTAGAGCTTCCACTTCCTCTTTAGAAATGAAATCTTTGTGTAGATGACATAGGAAAGACACCCTTTTGTTTAACATAAAAACTATCTTTCTGGTATTGAGAAACTTTTATGGGACCCCATCTATTCTGACTTGTATCTTAAAATCTAGACTATTTGGATAATTGTGTTAGGGTGGTGAGAATACTTTGTCTGATGCCACAATGATGAATATATGTCATTATACATTTATCTGAACCCATGGGATATACACTAAAAATGAACTGTAATGTAAACTGTGGGTTTTTGGTGATTGTGATGTGTGAATATAGGTTCATCAGTTGTAACAAATGTGTCACTCTGCTGGGAGATGTTGACAGTGGAGGCAGCTTGCATGTGAGGTGGGTCAGGGTGTATATGGAAAATTTTTTTATACCTTCTGCTCAATTTTGCTTTGAACCTAAACTGCTCTAAGAAAATTAAGTCTACTAAATCATTTTTCTGATGTTCAAAAGCTTAGTGACCTCCCAAATAGATTCCAGATTCCTTAGGGTAATTTTTAAAGCTCTTTTAGATCTGTCCCTAGCCACTCTGATCTCATCTTTGATGATCTCCCTCTTCTAAAC